TGTAACTGTGGTCGTGGTGGACATTATTATCAGATATCATTTTTCATTCATAATTGCCAAAACTTACTTTTTTCTATACAGTAAAAATTTGAATCGTTGTTATCAAAATTTATTGTTTTATTTTGATATACAAAACAAAAGTTCTTGTTGAAAAACCAAAACATATAAAATCCTGAAAACAGGCTAAATTAAAAGTATGAGGGCGCGTTCCGATTGTCGTGCAGTTTAAAGTGTCGTGGCTTGTATGTTTAAATGAAGTTGTTCACCCATAGAACAACACGATTAACTGACGTTCACGATTTTTTTGACGTTTCGACGACAGACTGTCGTGACAATGGGAGGAGCTTGAAAGTAATAAATAAAACATCATCATAACAATGTGACGACAGATAATCGCATCTTCAAACGATTCTATCGTAAACCGATAAATTTTCGTCACGATCTAGTGGGAACAGCTAGACACGACTGTCGTTCAACTATAAAAAAAACGTTGCGACATAATAGGAACGCGCCTTCAAACGAGTTATTTAAAAATAAAATATCTGATTTTGAACATAATTTTTATATGGAAATGTTTAGAGGCGCAGCACGGTGATTCACGCTCCATACTAAGGCGGTCATAAATACGTAACTCCGAAATTATTATTATTTTTTTATTTTATTACGTTAAAATATGATTAGGTAAACGTAAATTAATAAAATTATACATTTTAAAAAATATTTGACAATATTTAGGTGTAAAAATGTCTCGCAGTAATTTTGTTTTTAGACGATGTATCTAAAACATTTTATACTGCGACTTTTAATGGTAAAACTGTGTAAATAATGATTATTTGTATTAACAATAACCACAAATGAATAAATTAAAACAATAAAAATACATAAAAAAGTTCATTTTACAAAATACAAACAAAACACAAATTATACCAAAATACATTAAATCTCAACAATATTAACTTTAAATACATAACAAGTCTAATACAGCTTTTGACAGTACACCTTTTTTTTTAACAGGTAACTTTCGTAGACCTGTTATGAAGGGATCTGAATGAAGAAGCAGCCTATTTACTAAATCTGTGTTGGTCACAATGCGACTCATTTTACGCGTATGATTTTTTCTAAAAGACTTGATGTATTTGTTAGTCGCTTCAGCTGCTTCTTCAGACAACTCTCCGATTGACAACAAACCGTAATCTATAACATTAGCACCATGAATTAGAACTTTGTGAACGGAAGCAGGCATGTTATACCACGGATACTCGGCAACTAACTACCGAGCCGTCTCTAAAGCGAACTCTTCGAAGTTCGTCTTATTAATATTATATCCCGAATTTAAACATTGAAGGATGATCCAGCAACGATCTAGGAGATCCTTCTTGATCCCAGTAATTTCAGCGGAAATTTCTGAATTCGAGAAAAACCGCCTGGCTGTATTACCATCGTTTGATGTTCCGCTTCCGCCACTTTTAGGCTTATCCACTATAAGCCCTAATCTTTCTCTAAATTGAGTCTGAACATATGATTTTTTTGCAGCAACAAGCATTTTGTCATTAGCGGACCTAGCTTGCCATTTCCTAACATCTAACTTGTACGCGACATGAACAAAATATTCAAAAAAACGTATTAACGCGTGAAGAGGTGATAAACCAAATTCATATTTACTCTCATCGACTTCCTTATTTAAACATTCGTCAATTTTGTTCATTTCACTGGGCAAGGCGTTACAAATAAAACATTTTGATGAAGAAACACCACTAAGTGCATTACACACTTTACCAACTACCATAGTAAGTTGCAAACAATGAGTAATGCGATATTCGCGATCTTCTTCCTTGAAAACAGTAGGCTGCAAGTTCCTTATTTTATCTTTAAAATGAGCTTCTTCCTCAACTGACACTGCAGTCGATTCCTTCAAATATCGGAGGCGTATAGGACGACAGTATCGAGTTGATGAAGGACGAGGATTTTTTCACAAAACTACTGAATTTTCTTTGTTATCTGTTGTCAAAACAAGCTGAAGTGGCACATACGAAGTAACAAACAGGCTACTGTCTTCAAGAGTGGAGTCAGAAAAACACTGTTTATATTCTGAATGCCCTGTACTGCCATCGAAACCCCATTTCCCTATCAAAGATATCTTATCTAGAGACTCATTAGGTACACTATCCAAAGCATCTTTTTGAGACTTGAGAATCCGATTGGCAGTATGATCTAATAAACTTTGAAGTTCGACTTCGGCGGATGATTCTGTAACAGTAATATCTGAAGGATAACAGTGTTTTTTAGATTCCACGACACTTTGGTAAGATGGGAAAATGGTTTTTGAAAACTTATTGTCTATAAATTTCTTTACTAATATATATTGATGTCGAGTTAACTGAGCTTCAACAATGAGCGATAAAACTTCGCTAGAATCGATTTCAGGACAAGACAAGCTATCGGACGCATTGAGCAATGACTGTACAAGAGAAGGGTCTTGGTTAGACAAACTAGCCAATCTTCTCCTTTTTGTACGTTTACTGGTGTCGTCAAAGTTAATTCTCGGACGGCCATGCGATGAAGAAGTTGATGGTTTAACTTCGTCAAAGCTCTGAGATACACGTAACTCAGTTCGCTGTACATCAATATTTTCAACGACATGCAGCCAATCTGAATATTTTTCTAAGAATTTAGATCTAGTACGATTCGACTTTGCCCAGTAGTGGGAAATTCGTTTACAAATATTCTTAATTTTAAGGCTTAAAGTCTCTAAATCAATATTTTCGATGTCGTCAGAAAGGGATGATGTTTCGGTCAAAGTGCTCAGGACGTGTTGCATTTTTTCATTTGGATTACCCACTTTAGAGTGCCAAATATCAAAAATTGTCATCCTCGATACAGAACATTTGAAAAATGTACCTAAAACAATATGAAAGCTGAACTTAAAAAAAAATTAAAAATTCAATACTATGGACATGCATACTTTGACACCCCTTTAAGCCAAGAAGAGGCAGCAAGATGCAAATGAAACTTATAGCTCTTAATAAGGACATACTCCTTATTCAAAAACCATATACCTCAGGTGCAGCTCAGCGCAGCCAAAAGTTGTAGGTCTAAAGGAAATTAAGTTATGCCAAAAATTTTCACCAAAAAACTGCCTTCAATAAAAAAATTATATAAAAAAAAATATGCATAAAAAAAAATAAAAAAAATTGATAATAAAAGTACATACCATGCTCTTGGATCTCCATGCTTTCACAACACGTAAACACTTGATTTGGAATAGTGACACTCAAAAACAAAGTGATTAAGTTTCGATGACTCACACTTGGTGATAATTAGTCTCGCGATGCGCTCACTTCCGATGCACAAAAGTGAATGATAACGTGACCTAATTACATTGATATTTATAGTTTTTGGAAGCTTGTTAACTAGTTACTAACTTAGTGAGTTGATCTAACCGGGATAAGCCAATGATTTTTTTTGATTTATGGCCTATGGGGGAATCACAGTGCGCAGTTGCAGCGGCACTACAGTAACACACGCGAAGGCATCCTTACTATTAATGACGCAAATAATTTTATAATAATATAAAGAAATAATAAAAAACAACCGTAATCTCTGTACAATCGCACTAAAGTTTTTTAAGACACCCAATAAAGATGCAAAAAGAAATGTTCATAAATACAAAATGTTTAATATTACAAAATTAATTTCGACTTTAATAACGTGCTTAGCGTGTACATGTCACTTGACTGCATCCGGTTCTCGAGAGGCTAGTGCCTAGGGTGAACCGCTTCAGGTACACGTATAATACCATCCCTATTTTCCAGATAGGCACCGGAGCCGTAGGCACGCTCACTTCCCGTTGCGTATTGCACAACTAGCGGTTGCCACCGCTAAGTCGATGTACTCGTAAAGTCCACTACCAAATCTCCTCATCAGTGGCGGAGCTGCTCACTTCCCGACGCCGAAAAACGGCTTCTCTTCAGTTCCCAATAACCTAAGCGGCTGGAGAATGTCCAACTTATCCTCTACTAGCTCTCCGGGCCAGTACTGGAGATGCCAGTCGCAGTGTCCTGTGACGGTGTCCGGATATAGCTTCCAACTTAAAGGGCAACTCACGTGCCCCGTTTGTCTCCTCGCTTCAGGCCCCTTACTAAAACGCGCTTGCTGCGCACAACACAGAAGCCCCCAGCGAGTATTGACTGTACAATGGGAAAAGCGTTTAGCGCCTAATGTGCATAGCGTTAAACTGCCTGTGTGGCCGAACGGTTACCATGCCGGACTGCCACGAAGAGGTCCCAGGTTCGATTCGCGGGCCGGGAGAAATATTTGTTAGGTTACTACTACATTTGTTTTTCTCGTGAGTTTGGGTGTAATTTGTGGTTGTCTATGTGTGTGTCCATGGCACCCGCGACACAGGGTTTTCCCTATATATTGTGTGCGTTGTGCGTAAATGTACACACGCCAGCACATCAAGCTACACATTGACGTATCTTGTTCCGTTGCACTGGAGGCGATTTTCGAACAAAAATGTGTAGTCTGATGTGCCGTTGTCCGTACAATAATATATACTAAATATAATAACGTACCTACTATACTGTCAAGTTACCTATCTCTACCGCTTCTTCTTCTGCTTCGGTTTTAAAGGGTAAAAATGCTGGTGATATTACAGGCACATGGGACTTGTCAACTTATGTCTCAGAGTACGGGCGCAGTGGCAGTTCCCCCTGCCCTTCTAAAGCGCAAATTACATTACTGTTACATAATGCCCACGTTACAGCTTGGCGGCAGAAATAGATAAAGTGGCAGTACTTCACAAGGAGCTCTACTGCTACTAAAATGACTATTTGTATTACTTCCTTCAAGTTACTCTGCCCATAACAATTACAGTGCCACTCAGAGCTTTAAATCGCAAAGACCTGAGGAGCAAAATGCCACTGTCCCGTTCAGCTCAAACTTAATAAGCAAGATGTGTTTTTTGTCTAGTTACTTATGAAATTGTTTTTTACCCACAGGTGCGATTCTCAGAGAAACCGCCGAAAGTGCGCGTGATGCGGGTCTGGGCGTTTGCTGCGAGACAGGCGCGCCCTGGGCCATGGGAGCGTTATGTGCTTGACCGCGAGAGATTCAAGAGGAGGTACATTTAAAAATCGCCATTATTATTGTATTTGCAGCGAGATTTTACGAAAGGGTTCAATGTGGTTCAGTTTAATACTTACCAGTGATACTGGACTTGAAGGAGTCCATAACCCCTTCACCACTTTAACCTAAACTAAAAATTATAATTTTATTGCAGATACGACCGATTTATATCAGACGGTTGAATGCATTTTGACATAGTTTCCTTAACATTCCAGGATCGCTGACGTCGACATGGCTGTATCATGGGTGCTGAAGCCTCAACACCGGTCCAGAGTGATGTTCCAACGATTCATGCCCTGGTGGAATGCGCAGAAGAGGAAAGAACTTGCCGAAAAGAAAGAGGCAGAAAAGAGAAAGAAGGAAGAGGAAATCAGACAAGAGAAAATATTGAAAGAAGAACAAGAAAAAGAAGCAATGCTATTGGAAGAACAAATGCACAAGGGGTCTGAAGAAACAAAACACCTAGACGAAAATGATGATCTTGGGGGAAAGGTTGAAGAAAAGAGACGAGAAGAACTATTGAATGAACAGAAAGATTCCGGAAAACTACAAGACAATGAAAGAGATACTATTGATTACCATGTGGGAAAGGACCTACAAGATAAAAAAAATCCTGAAGAACACTTCGATAAAATGTCTATAGAAAAGAAAAATATAGATGCTGATACGAAACTTAATAGTAAAAACCAGATTGAAGTTACAGAAATACCTTCAGACAGTAGAAGCGACACGGCACCAGTACACCAAGACGTGAATAACCAAGTATGTGTTAAACAAGATCTGAACCAAATAGCTATACAAGGAACAACATTGAATCAAGATGATCAGAATGTTAAAAGAGGTAAGCAATGTAATGTTAAAAACCAAGTCGAAATAAACAAAGAAAAAATACAACAAAAGAATATAAAACAAAATTCTAGTACCACGAAACCCGAAAGTAACAAAAAAAATTGTCTTAACAAAACGTGTATAAAAATTGAAAATTACAAAGACGTAGTTAAACTTAATAATTTTGAAACGAATGATATTATCAAAACCGATACTGAAAATCAAAGTAAAAACAAAATTATAACTGTTAATGATTGACTGCGATCTCAGTTTAATTTGAGAACTCAAAAATAGGCAAACGTTTTTTAACTTCCTATGAAAACAGGACCTGCCGGATGTCACTGTCAGACCAGGTATGGTCTCAAAAACTGTAGTAACCTTATCCTTCATATCCATTCGTGTTCTTTCAATATTCACAAAAAATGGTATCTCTAAATGGTATGTCAATTGAAATAATTATATTACAAAATCTGTTGGGAGTTGTCAGTTTGTTTCAGCCATTTCATATTTTGACGGAAATTTTGACGAGTAAAATAATATTAAGAAAAGATCTTACTTCTGCAGTTAATGTATCTAATTTGTGCCGTACAATTTTTTTTTCAAGCAAAAGTATATCAACTTTCTTAAAACTTAAATATTGAAAAGGTTTTTCTAAAATAAGTTAGTTTAAATAATAAATTATTTTTGACACAAGTGCGGAAAGTTAGTCATTATTCACGTGTCTCGAGGCTTCTCGAGACAAGTGAAAAATGACAAATCCGCACGTGTATCAAACGACGTTTTTTAATACATTTGCGAAAACACTACATTGAAAGTAAAATAACAACAGTATTTAAAAAAAAAACTCATTTTATTTCTTTGTCTGATAAAAATTCAGAGTACAAAGGCAACTGTTGCCAGTGTTCAGCCACATTAAAAATACTATTTTAGTGGCGCGGCGCGCAGCGCTTTCGAGTAATACTCGCCTAAGGTCATTGTTCATACCCAATCAGCCATCTTTATGGAAAATATTTTGGTATTTTTAAATGTAACCCGTTGTTTTATAAAACACCTACGCAATTTAAACAAATGAGATGTTTGTAAGTAAATATAAGTTTTAATGAGGAATGATTTACGTCACAAAGCACATAAATATTAAATAAATACACAACCTCTTTAGTTCTTCTATGATTAAGACTAGAAACAACAGTAAATTTAAAAAAAATGGAAAAATAAAAAGCACTAGTGCGAAAATTCCAACTTTCGGCACGATTTGTAGTACGAAAAATACCACGTTTCGAGCAACTGTATTAAAATATTGTTTTAATTGCGATTTATTGTTAATAATTTAAGTATATAAGGCGTACCTGGCAATGCTACGCTTTTGCTGCTTAAATTGTTGATAGTTCATCAAACAACTTCTTCATTTCTATTCAAATTCCGGTGTTAAGTATGCGGCTTCAAATTCTTCTTCTAAAATTACACGCTTATAAAGCGGTATATAGGCGCCATTACTAATTTTCATACAATTTGTAGAAGAGCAGTTGCAGCGCCACTTTTGCAGTCACAATTAGACTTAGTCAATCAAAAAAGATCCAACGCACATCCAGTAACTTTCGAGATATAGCAGTTTGAAGTTTAAATGTGTTTCTCACTCTTGTTTTATTTTTAAAACTTATAATGTCGTGTAAATCCAGAGATATTTATTTATGTATATATGTTGGATTTTTTTGCTGATCTGAGAGATTAGACTTTAGGAACCGTTTGATACATATAACTCAGTATTTGATAATTTTGTGGATTGGATCCTTTTTATTTAACTACGTCCAATTAGTAAAGTAAATTTATCTAATCTAAAGTAAGCTTATGTAATCTGAAAGCGCCTTTACATAAATAATGGATTGAAATATTTTTGTATACCTCCCTATATTAACCATATTTAAGTTGTCAAGTTTTAAACTTAATTGAAATGGAATATTAAAACAGGTCGTAAATATTTCAAAACAGACGTTAAAACCTACAACATGCTTCCTTGAAAAAATTTAGAGAGACTGTATATTACTATATAGATGCTGATAAAAGTACAGGGACATGAGACTTTGTGACGGGTGCAGGCGCAGTGGCAGTGTTCCTCAGATCTTTGCTATTTAAAGCTCTTAACAGCACTGCAGCTGTTACGGGTGTGTACACGCTTACCATCAGGCGCACGACTAGTTCGTCCTGTCACTTGACCCAATAAAAAACATATTCATGTACAAATGTAAAACCGATATTCCTTGGAATGTGAAATGGTTACTGACATTTGAGAAATCAGGATTCACAAAGATGCGTCAATAGCTGTTGTGAGGTCACCATACTGGCTAAGTACCAAATGTACAGTCGATGCCCTAAGATACTTAACCATTGTAGAATTAAAAGAGTACGGTAACTCCGTACAAAATAACAGCGCGCCGTGTACGGACGCCTAATTCGCATAATAATGAAAAGCGCGTTGAGACGACTATACTCCCTCCAACCATTTATTTAATTTTTGACAGCTCAAATAGGTATTCATCAATCAGTGATGTCCTAATGCGTTTTCTTTTGCATTTCATTATTATTTATTAGACAGGTACCAAAATTGATCAACTTGAATAATGTTCGTTATATAATCTATTGGCTCGGATAAATATCGGAGCTAACGAGCAAGTAGCTTCACTAAAATAAAAAAAATAGAAGAGTCCATTGCATTGTTTGCCTAGCCATAAATATACAAACGTATGTCAATAATTACGGAACTTCGGAGGCATGCATATGTCGAAAGTTAAATAAATTGTGGGCATCCGTACATAAATATTCTAATACGTGCCATTGTTATTATGTTTTATTAGTTTTCGGTTGCATTCATTGGACAGCATCGTATGGTATATTAAAAATTACATAAAAGCTTTCGGATCGATGTGATTAATTCCTGTAACAACTTTATAAACTGTGTATCACAAATAACCTTTTAAGCCAGTTTGATCTTTAATTACATTACTTAAATACTAAAACAATTTTTTTGTTAACTGCGTAAGAAGACTCTCAGAACCAAAACGTCTGCTAGAGGGTGAAGTATCTTAGGACATCGACTGTACTTTCCGGAGCATCCACCCACCACTATCCATTAATAACTCCATAATACTTTTGAAAAAGAAAACTTATCAAGATTGATTAGTTAGTGGTGGACAATTGGACAGCCCCCACCGATCGGATGTGTAAGTTCTGTACAAATTTTCTAAATTCCGAGCTATTCGAGTTTTACGAAACTCGATGATTGCATTGTTGTTTAATTTTGTTATTTGACATTATAATTTTCTCGCTCGTATCATTTCGCTCCTGCAAATGAAAATTTACATAATGTCTTTAGACATAAGGTTAATATTCGGTTAAGGTATGCATTGGTATTCTATATTTTAATTATCGAAGGAGCGTGAAAATTACAATGTGGAATAATTGATTACATTACAATGAAATAAGTTAACAATGCAATTGCCGAGTTCCGTAGTACTCGATTGTGACAAAGTTTGGTGTTTAGTAAATAGATAAGTCTCGTTAATACCGGACAATTTTACCTCTCATGAGGTTGTCCTTTATTTTATTTGTAAATCGTCAGTGCAGGGGTTGAAATTGTAAAGCATTACGCGAAAATGAGTCTTTATATTATGGGTTTGAATATTTTTTTCTGCACCTATCCATTTGGCGCTTTCACATGATGAGTTCTGTTTAAGAGTAGCTTTGCAACCTTGTTAACCTTTCCATTGACGATACGCTATCTTGTATTTATATCCCATTACTGTGCACGAGCCTCTAGATGGTGTTATTAAAACATTTGTATAAAGGTTTTATTAATGACATCAGTTTGAAATAGTCCACTGGTGAACATATTTGTCAAAAGCAAGGCAGAAACAGCGCTTGCATATTAACTTTATAGTGGCACGCGCATAATTAAACCGGAATGCTCGTGCGCCTACGCATTGGATAGACATTCCATTATCAAAGTTTCAATTAACTTCGGTGAATCGTGTCATCGGTTCTTTTTGCAAGGACCAGCGAGCCAAATTTAAAAAAAATTAAAATAATAATGTTGCCGGCAACTGTGTCTACCGGTGGACGCCACTCAAAATGATGACAATGTATGTTTAAAAATTAGTATATGTATTTACTGTAGTAATAATCGAGTTAGCAATATTTTAATTCTTACAGACTCCACACCAAGTTATCTGTGGTACGTGTGGTGTCGCTAGTGTCTATGCGGGATTGCCGGTTATAATAGTGACTTAGCGTTAAGTTCAATTTATGCCGTAACACAGATAAGTTTGTGTAAAACTTATATCGTTATTTTACGATTTCCCTATTCGTTCCGTTTATTTAAACGAAATCTATTCCCGTATTTTTTTTCTGGTTTGTTCCACAAATTTCCATTTTTATTTACTTTGGTGGATCTCGCCATCGTCGTCTTATCCCGACGGATAAACTGGATTTTATTCGATTGAAACAGCTGAATTTCTGAGTTTAACGACCTTTAACCTCGAAATGATTTTCGAAAAACTTTTAAATTAGCCTCGAATCTATTTTCGACTAAGTTGAAAGAAACAAAGAATTTATTTATTTCAGACTGTATAGTTACAGGTTCATATAGTGTGAGTAGGTACTTGCAACTTTGTTAGTACAATGCAAAATGTTAATTTTCATGAACTAGGATGGACATCCTCTCTGCTACCACCTTAAGAACTTCTGGTGCTGCCCTTCACTCTGGCCAACAGGGATGGCTGAAAATTGTCAATTCTTGTTGATTACCCGAACATCCCTGAGGCGCTACAGTGTCGAAGCAGGCCCAGCAGTCCCCTGAGGGCGACTGTATTTATTTAAATAGCCTGGATACGGTATTCGGCAACCTTTTAAGAGACTTTAGTCGATTTTCGACTATCTTTCAAAAGAGCCTCGAATGGATTTTCGACTAACTTTTAAAAGAACGTCGAATCGATTTTCGACTACTCGATTTACGATTGACTGCCTTTGATTGAAAACGAAGATTCATGGATTAGGTTTTCGTTTAAAGGTAGTCGAAAATCGACTCCTGGATCTTAAAAGTTAGCACCATGGCATTTGTGGAATAAACCATTTCTTTGTATATAATGTATAATTTTCGTAAATATAAATGTTAGTTATGGTTAATGTAAATTACTTAATTGTAAATTTCTGTAATTAAAAGGTGTTTGATTTCAAATAAAAAAAAATTGTGAATGTATTTTTTGAGAAAACTTTTATTTCTTTAAATAAAAATCCCAACAATGGCGGAGCAAGGTTCGCTTCGTGTCTCCCAAAGTTCCTATATAATTAGGATAACTTACATACATATATTTACCCGACTTTAAAGATGTGGTTCTTCTTTTTTGTTGGGTGTACCTTATTAGTGATCGCATTCAAAAAGAAGATATTCCACCTCTAAGGCTGCCAATCCGAATTCGGTTTGTTGGGTTAAATCCGTTTTCCGTTAACGGATTCAATGAAACTTTGCAAATAGATTCCACGTACTTTTGAAGTCGGTTATTTTAAATATAAAACGTATTAAATTAAACAGTAAAAACCGCTCTAAAGACAAAACCTAATCCATGGACAATAAAATACAAAACATTGTACCATAAATAACAATACAAAGCCAAAACTATGTAATTCAAATATTTTAA